GAGAAAAAAAGGCAGAATTCTGAGAAAAAAAGGCAGAATTCTGAGAAAAAAAGGCAGAATTCTGAGATTAAAATCAGAATTCTGAGAAAAAAAGTCAGAATTTTCCCATATTAAACTGAAATAAAATTTAAAAATCAGTTAATTTTTTTTTTCAGTGGCCCTAATCCTCTTCCGTATTAACAGGTATATTAATTTGTTTTACAAATAAATCAAAATAATTGCACTCTATCTTCGTATTGCTAAAATTAGCAGCATGTCATCAACATAACGACAGACCTTCCAATTCTCATGGGTGAAAAAATATGCAAAATTGCATCAATAAATAACAATCAGGTGCAGTTTTTTAATGCCTCTCTTCATGTGATTTGTTTTTGCGTTTTAGATGTTGTCTCTCCTACCTCAGAGGATTTTAAGGCTGTTGGAGTTTATTGGGTTCTCAGGAAACAGGGTGAGTACTTCCCCTCTTTCCAAACCTGTGTGCATATCCTTTATACGACATTGCGAAATAAATCTCACTTGGTCTGTTTTTGCCTTCAGAGTTTTGGTTTAGCTCAGCTAAGGGAGGGAGCATCCAGCCAAAGTTTGCGTTCCATTCTCTGCGTGCTAACCTTGCTCTTCTATAACACATATGTCTCACTGATACTGGGTAAGGTTTTTGTTTGTCTGGTTTAACATCCTTCCCTGAATGTCTGATTTTAGGTTTATGATTTAAAATTTGTTTTGTGGTTTTTGGAAAAGGAACGGGGGAGGGGAACCTGGTGGAGGCAGAAGCTTTGCTGGAGCCATACCAGGAAAAGTACCCTAAAGTATGCCAACTACATGTCGCTGTATTTAGTGCTGATCGGCTGGGACACACAGAGAATTATACTAATATTTTGTTTACTTTTCTTCAAGGGCTCCATAATTCTTTTCTACTCTGCTCGGATCGCCACGCTACGAGGAAACTTTGAGAAGGTTTGTTCTTTTGCTCTCATGATCTGTGTCTTTAAAGGCACACTATGCAACATTTTTCAGTTAATTAATGTGTTCCATAACGTTTTGGATGATTAAATGAGTAATTTCAGGTCGAACAAAGGTTTTCTCGGCCGCCCTGGTGGTCTGTAGGGGAAATACCGTACTTGCAACTGCGGGGCCCCTGGGCCCGCCCCCACGGGCTCAGAAATCCC